GCTGCTGCTGCTGCTGCTGCTGCTGTTGCTGCTGCTGGAGTTGCTGCTGCACCTGCTGTAGGCCTGCTGCTGCTGCTGCTGCTGCTGGTTGCCGCTGCTGCTTCGGCTGTAGGACTGCGGAGGGTCCAGGGGGGCCCCCAGGGCCCAGGGGCCCCCGTCGCTGCTGCAGATGCTGCTGCTTCTGGCTAGCTGCTGCGTGCTCCTGCTGATGAGTTTGTTGCGAGCAGCAACAAAAGCAGGATCTGCTGCTGTCAAAGAAAACGCATGCAGTCCTGCTGCTGCTTTTATTGCCAATCGACTTTCTTTGTCTCTGTCTTTTAAACTCATCAGCACCCGCAGGCCTTTCAGCTCCACCTGCAGCACACCCGCACAGCCTGCTGCTGCTGCTGCGCTGCTGCTGCTGCGCTGCTGCTGCTGCGCTGCTGCTGCTGCTGCGCTGCGCTGCTGCTGCTCCTGCGCCGCTGCTGCTGCGCTGGTGATGCTGTGCTGCTGCTGCTGCTGCGGTGCTGCTGCTGCTGGTGCTGCTGCTGCTGCTGGGCTGCTGCTGCTGCTGCTGCTGTGCTGCTGCAGCAAAGAGACAAAAGGAGACAGTTGAGGCTCACTAATTCTTGAACACAAAAGACAAAAATGTCTGGCTTTTGGGGGACAGAAGAAATCCAGTCTTCGATGCTGTCCCACTCGTAAGTGTCTCCTGCTGCTAAGTTCCAAGTCCCCACCCACACCCGCAGCGGCAAGCTGCTGCTGCTGCTGCTGCTGCTGCTGCTGCTGCTGCTGCTGCTTGCCGGGGGCGGTAGGGGAGGCGGCAGGCGCCCCGCTGCGTCGGCAGCGCCGGAGCCGCTCGCCCGCCGCTGCCGCCGCTGCTGCTGCTGCTGCTGCTGCTGCTGCTGCTGCTGCTGCTGCGAAAGGCGATGCTGCCCCAGCAGCAAATTTAAACACTCTTGTCGAAAAGCATCTTCGAAAGTGTTGTGGTAGAACCTGTACATACACCCCAGCGCCAGCCGCGCACCTTTCATTAAATTAAATCTTTTTCATTTAATTAAATTGTTTTTTTTGTTTTTTATTTAATTGTTTTTAGTTAAATTGCTGTTTATTCAATTAAATTGCTTTTTATTTAATCAAATGGTTTAAAATTAATTAATTAAGCAAAAACAGCAAACAAAGGGAAAAAAAGAACATTTATGTGCCTTATTGAGACGTCTAGGGTTTAGGGTTTAGGGTTTAGGGTTTGGGACCTCCCGAGGGACTTGAGGGCGTGGTCCACGTTGGAGGCGAATGTGCTGCGGCCTCCTTGTTTGATTTGGGAGGACAAGACGGAGCCAGTGCCTGTGTAGTGCATGCTGATGCTGTCTCCCTAATAATAAATAAATATATAAATAAATAAATAAATAAATAAATAATAAATGAAATAGATTATTTAATTGAGTTGTTTGGTGATTCGCTCGGTGGGTTTGCTGCTGCGCGGATACGCGCGCAGCAGCAGCAGCAGCAACAGCAGCGGGGAGTAGCAGCAGCAGGAAGTAGCAGCAGCAGCGGGGAGAAGCAGCAGCAGGGAGTAGCAGCAGCGGTAGGGTAAGGAGCAGCAGCAGCAGTAGCGGAGGAGGTAGCACACAATGAGAAGCAGCAGCAGCAGCAGCAGCGGTGGCATGAGGAGCAGCAGAAGCAGCAGCAACAGCAGCAGCAGTAGCAGCAGCTGTAGCAGCAGCCGGGCGCCACGAGTAGCAGCAGCAGTAGTAGCAGCAGCAGCAACACAACAAGCATCAGCAGCAGCAATGGCCAAAAGAGCAGATGCACCAGAAGCAGCAGCAATGGCCAAGAGAGCAGATGCACCAGCAGCAGCAGCAGCAGCAGAAGCAGCAGTTGTACCTGGTCTGCCCACAGTTTTTTGACAACATCTCTAAGGACAGAAATTTCTTCTTGTGATGCTTCTGCTGCATTGCTGCGGTGTCTGTACACCTGGCGGCTGCTTTCTTCGACGCGGCTGAAGCTGCTGCTGAGTGCTGCTGCTGCTGCTGCTGCTGCTGCTGCTGCTGCTGCTGCTGCGGACGCCGTCGCCGCGTGCGCCCCGCTAGCGGCGCCCGAGCCGCTCCTCTGCTGCCGCTGCCGCTGCTGCTGCTGCTGCTGCTGCTGCTGCTGCTGCGGGGGGGCCCCCGTGTCTCCTAAAACTAAAGTTACAAGAGACCCTGAGGGGCCCCCGGGGCCCCTCAGCCAGGGGCCGAAGCCCAGAGGGGCGGAGGAGACGGTCAACAAATCTGAAAGAAATAAAAAGAATAAAAGAAATTAAAGAAATAAAAGAAATAAAGAAATAAAAAATGAAAAGAAATAAAAGAAATAAAAATAAAAAGAAATAGATCCTCAAAAACTGCAAAAAATGAACAAAAACGGACAAATACTCCCCCCGGAATCCAAAAGTACCCTAAACCCTAAACCCTAAACCCTAAACCCTAAACCCTGGAGGGCTGACTGCAGGGTTTGACCGGCAGTAGGAAGGCGTCAAAGCGGCTCTCCCGCAGCAGCTGCGTCAGCCAAAACCAACAAAAAAACCTGAACATAACACCGCCAAACCCTAAACCCTAAACCCTAAACCCTAAACCCTGAGCCCTTGTCTGCGTAGTTTGCAGAGAACTGGCAGCAAGGCTGCTGCCCAAACTGCAGCACGCTCAGAGCCCCCGTAAACCCTAAACCCTAGACCCTAAACCCTAAACCCTAAACCCTGAATCGTGGTTTACCACTGAAAGACGTTTGTTCTGTCCAGGCAGTCGAGGCAGTTGGTGCGCAGCACCCCCCGCTGCTTCCTTGCTGCTGCTGCTGCTGCTGCTTCTCCTGCTGCTGCTGCAGCACAGGGGCTGCAGTAGAAACCAATTGCTGCTGCAGCACTCAGCAGCTCCCCCTGCACAAAGTCCCCCAACGCCGCCTCGTAGGCCTTAGCCTTCATCTGCAGCAGCAGCAGCAGCAGCAGCAGCAGGAAACTGCAGTCTTCCGCCAAACCGCGAAACCTAAACCCTAAACCCTTTAACCTGAACCTCCTAGACCCTACGCCCTAAGCTCAAAGCCCTCTGAAGCCTTTAACCGTACACTCTAGACCCTAAACCCTAAACCCTAAACCCTAAACCCTAAACCCTTCTGGCTGCTAGGGCCTCAGAGACTCTTTTTGAAATTTCTTTCTCAATCCCTATGACCGAATATTTAAAGGCCACTTCAAACGACTAATTAAGTGCTCATTTGCACTCCTTGCTGCTGCTGCTGCTGCTGCTTCTGCTGCTGCTGCTGCTGCAGGTACCTTGGAGTGGAAGTCGTAGAGGAAAAGGGGAGGGGGTTTGAGGCCCGGGTGTTCTTCCGCAAACAGCAGCAGCTGCTGCTGCAGCGCAGCAGTAAGTTTTGCTTCTTGTTCTTTGCTGCTGCTCAGCAGATTCACTAGCACCGCCTCGCCCCCGTAGCGCCGCTGCAGCATGTGCTGCAGCAGCAGCAGCAGCAGCAGCAGAGAGTCCAGGCCCCGCCTTGGAGACAGTTCGCAGCAGCTCGCGCGCCCAAACGACGCGCAAACTCGCACTCAACCAGCAGCAGCAGCAGCAGCAGCAGCAGCAAAGCTCACAATGTGTTTTTCGAAAGCGTTTGCAGTCAAAAGTGCATTCCTGCTGAGAGTTGCTGTTGCTGCTAAACCCTTTTGGCCCCAAAAAAGGGGAACGGATCCCCTGACCTGCAGCAGCGCAGCCCAGTGGCCGAAGCAGCAGCCGCTGCTGCAGACAAGCGGGCTTGCTGCTGCTGCTGCTGCTGCTGCTGCTGCTGGCGCTGCTGCTGCTGCTGCTGCTGGGGGCAAGGGCGACGCTGCTGGGGAACCCGCCGGGGAAGCAGCAGGAGACACGTAGTCGTACAGCAGCACGCCGCCGCCGCTGCTGCTGCTGCTGCTGCTGCTGCTGCACTTGCAGTGTACGTTCAGCTGCAGCAGCCGCACCCGCTGCTCGCTTTCAGCGAAGTTCGCCACCTGCAGCAAACAGCAGCAGCAGAAGCAGCAACAGCAGCAAAGCAGCAGCAAAGCAGCAGCAAAGCAGCAGCAAAAGTTTAAGTTCAATTTTAGAAAAAGTGTTGCATTTGAAGTCCCCTTGAAGTAATAAATTAATTTGTTTACATAAATAATTAAATCACTAATTTATCAAACTAAATAATTAATTAAATGATTAATTAACTAATTATTAATTATTTAATCAATAAAAATTAATTATTTTAACCAATACAAATTAATTAATTAATTAATTAATCATATAATTATCTAATTAACCAAAAGATTAATTAATTAACAAACAAATAATTAATTCATTAACCAATCAACCAATAGATTAACTAATCAATTAATTAATCAATAATAATAAATAAGTAAATAAATAAATGACTAATCAAAATTAAATAATAATAAATAGATAAATAAATAAATAAATAAATAATAAATAAATAAATAAATAATTACATTGCCATCATCATCAATGCCTCTGGCGTTATATCGAGTCCCTCCTCTTCTGCAGCTTCTGCGGGCAATCAGCAGCAGCTCAAGAGCAGCAACACGCCCAGCAGCAGCAGCAGCAGGAGCAGCAGCAGCAGCAGCTGCTGCTGCTGCTGCTGCTGGGGGCGCTCGAGACTGCAGACGCTCTATGCGCGCGTAGCCTACGTAGCCTGTCAATGAAAATAAAGATAAATAAATAAATGAAAATAAATAATAAAAACATAGTAAAAAATAAGTAAATGATGAAAGAAAATAGTATGCTGCAGCAGCAGCAGCAAGAAAAACGGGAACAATACGTGCAGCAGCAGCAGCAGCATGACGAGCAGAAGAGCAAGCGCAGCAGCAGCAGCAGCAGCAGCAAGAAAAACGGGAACAACATGCGCAGCAGCAGCAGCAGCAGCAGCACAGCAGCAGCAGCAGCAGTAGCAGCAGCAGCAGGCGGACCTTGGATGAGGGGGACCGTCCACCTGGGATCGAGTTGGGATCGTCTCCAGTCCTGGAGGAGATGGTCGTTCCAGAGGAAGCGGCGGTCTGCTTCAGCAGCAAAGGCGAAACCGGTCCAGCAGCAGCAGCGCAGCAGCAGCGCGTCCCTTGCTGCTGCTGCAGCAAACGCCGCGCGGCTGTCGGGGTAGCCCGGCAAGGACTGCCTGCAGCAGCAAATCCCAAGTGTCTCCTGTCTCTCCAAGTTGCTGCTGATCTCCAAATCAAAACTGAAGTAAAATCCAAAAGACAGCAGCTTTTCAATGGAGTTTATGAACCGCAGCCGCTCCGCCTCGCTGCAGCTGCTGCTGCTGCTGCTGCTGCTGCCGCAGCGGCGGCGGCCAGCTGTGCGTGTGCCGCTTCCCTTCTGCTGCTGCGCTGTCTCCTTCCAGCAGCAAAGACGAATGCAGCCCACTGTCTGCTGCTGCTGCGCCTCTGCTGCTGCTGCTCCTGCTGCTGCT